ATTATTCAACAATCAACGAGATACGATCCGATTCTCGTCGAGAATATATTAATAGAATTCCCATGAGCTAGCTAATAATATCGAATTAATCCGATTACACGGAATTTCATTTTAAACTCGACAAACATCGATTCTCCGATTATTAACCGAGATTTCGCAAATTAAGTGAGAGAATTATTATTATTTTGTTTTTTTTCCAAGATACGAATTTCACGAATTTCTCCAACAAAAACAAAAAATTTATTGACACTCGTTACGCCGATAAAACGATGATGAAAGTAAAAATTAAATTTAAATAAATAGCTCGAAGTGAACCGTTTGATTTTTCGAAAACGATCGGTTTTTCCATCTTTTTCAATGATTCAATCATATATATATATATGAATATAAATAGAAACAAGAAACAAGATAGAAACAAGAAATGCAACGTGTAAACATTTTGCTTATCAATATTGTAATTTAATGTGTGTGTGTGTGTGAGAGAGAGAGAGAGAGAGCATGAATCAATTGCGTTTTTCATACACAAATCGTTTACATCTTTGTTTCATCTTTGCGCACGATTTAATAATCGATTTGAAAAAGCGAATTTGAAAACGAACTCGCGTTTCGACGAAACGAAAATCGAGTTTTATTTCATTGATCGTTAGTAAACAAAATTCTTGAATTTTAACTAATCTTGAATCGAAAACCGTGGAGCCGAAAACAAATACCGTGAGGGAACGAGATGGTGGATAACGATTGCGTGTAAAAACTATTAATTATCAAATGGTTATCTGATTCAAGGCGAAATAGCATCGAGAAAATTGCAAATAGATCGAAATGTCACGAGCCACGCAATTTTAACGATTCGTAATCTCTTGTATTGTATTTATTCATCGTTCGCTAAATTAATCGAGGAAAAATTTACTCCTTCCCGTGTATTATTAGCTCGATAAATATACATAATTCTTTCGTATTACCTTACGTACACGTAATTTCATCACGTTAAAAAAGAAAGGGAGAAAAAAAAATACGAGAAGTATCGCGGAAAAAGAAAGAGGGGGAAGAAAGAAAGGATAATCGAGAAAAAAACGATTCGAATGCAAACTTCGTCAAACTCGGACCGAAGACGGTTCCACAGAGTTCCATGATCGACGTGACGCGCTTTTTACCCGACTGTCAATCATCGAACAAATGTCGATACTTCGAAACGCCGTCGTTGGATTAAAAACACCGTCAGGATAGAAACGCAAATTCGAAAAAAAAAAAAAGAAAAGAAGAAAGAAAAAAGGTAAATAAAAAAAAAGAAGGAAAAAAAAACTCACGTCAAACTGTTGCAAAAAGTGGAAGCGAATCGTTTCCAGTTTACAAGCTCGAAACTCCCCTAATCCTGTCTGGAATCAGAACTGGCAACGAGCCAGGAAACCAAAAGGAGAAAATGGCGGAAAGAAAATAAAACGAGGATCAAAGTAGAATTAAACGGAGGGGAAAGGATTCGAAACGGAAAAAACGGCGTTAACATTTTGATCCGTCCGTGGCCGATCCACGGTGACGGATTAATATTCACGATTTCACGGTCCCTAACGACATTGAAATCGCGTGCAACCCATCGATTAATCGATACGAGGCGAGGAGAAGTCCCGTTGGCCGATTCCTTTCCTTCGGTGCAGGGCCTCAACGCGGAACACGATGAATATTTCACGGATCGATCGATTTCTCCACCACCGTTCTCCATTCTCTTTCTCTCTCTCTCGCGCAAGGAGCACGAGGACGGCGGTAGAAAGCAGTCTGCTACTAAATATACAATAAGCTCGAGAAACCTAGGAGAGAGAGAGAGAGAGAGAGAGAAGAAAAACAAAAAAAAAGTCCTGCTCGACTCCATCGATCGTAACTGCGAATGTCGAACGATCGAAATATCCTCGTTTCACCCCTCTTCGCGATTTCGATGGAGGGTACGAGATATTTTTAAGAGACATTTATTTTAGGATACTTAATTTTTTTTTTTTTCTTAGAAAAGTTTATGTAGAAAATTTTTGTTTCGTCATTTTCAATCGTCCATATCTTCGGATTAATTTTTGGTAATAATTTTGTGGTAATAATCTTTTTCATATCTGTTATCTATTTTTTATTGCGATGTGAAAAAAAGTATTAACGAACAGTGTTTACTTTATCGTTGATGGGCTTTACGATGCAAAATTACAGGGAGGAAAAACATTGTTAATGATACTTTTAGAGATAGTTTCGTAAGGTATAATTAATCGAGGGATAAAAATAAAGAGAGGGGGGAGGGGGGGAGGGAAACTTTCTACACTTTTAGAGCACGAAATAAATAAATCTGACTATCCATGGATAATTGAATAATTGAATATAGAAAATAGCGGGTTCGTTTCTATTATCTATTTTTTGTTTGATGTTTAAAAATTAACTATTGCGTCCTCTATCGTGAACTTCCCTATTACGCGTCAGACGGTGAAACACAATCGTACGTCACAATGAAAAATAATTAGTGGTCGGATAAATTTGTCAGAGACAAATGAAATTAAACGTTAAGAATGCAAATTATAGATATTTCCTTCGCATTGTCTTATCATATTTACACGACCACTCCCTTCTTCGATTGTTAGACAGACAAAAAAAAAAAAAAAAAAAAAAAAAGAAGAAGAAAACGAGTAAATAACAAAAGACCATTTCAGCTTCGAACACGTTGAATCATCATAAATCGTCCCATAAATTATGTGTCATCATTCGTATGCAATCCAGAAGGAACAATTATCAAATCTTTTCTAATTATTTGGAATAATTAATAACTTTCAAATTTCCAAACAATGCACCCTAATTTATTCTTTACGCGTATTTTATCCTCGGTTAGAAAAAAGTGAATTATCCATTTCGAGACGAGCAATTCGTAACAAAGTAACTTTCCTACGTAACTTTCCTATCCTTTCCTATCGTTTAAATAACAATTTCCCGTTTAAATAATTTTATTTGAATAAAAAATATCGTGTAATTCTACAAAAAAGAAAAAAAAAAATATTAAACGCTTCCACACTTAACGCAATATTTTCAAGGAAGTAGCGAAAGACGCGTTAAACGTTAACGATAAAATGTTTCTATTAAAAGAAGAATATTTTAATGAAAAGAAGAAACTTTACAATGTCTTTTATGTCTTTACTAAAAGTGATGAGGATAAATTGTGAAACAATGACGATACCTTTACACTCCCATCGATCGACAATATCACTGGAACGAAGCTAAAACACGATAATGATAATAATATCGCGAAATCGCGTATTATTCCTTCTCCTTTTCATCTCGACTCCGCGCCGCGGTCGAACCGAAACTCGATCGAGACTACGTTACGCTTAAACACCCACGATACACGTTATTCAACCTTATCTAAACTAATAGGAAAACAAAAGTAAGCTGCTCGAATACTGGTTCTACGGTATCACCCGTACGCTCGTGAGAATATATACGCGAGGTCATCGCCGTATTGTGACGGCCGAAACGCGATCCTTGCTTTGTTTCGCGTGTTTTCGCGCACGATTCACGATTTTTTTTCTCTCTCTCTCTTCTTTTTTTTTTTCTTTTTCGAAATACACCGAAAACCGTGGAAAGAAATATTATCGTTGTCAGGATGCGCGGTGAAAAAGCGCATCGCGCTTATCCTGCGCAGAATGTTTCCACAACTCGATACAACGACAAGAATGGTTTTCGTACCAATCGCGAGAATAGAGGAAAGATGAAATATCGTTGTGACTTTGTTCTGCTTTCCAGAAAATTTTTTCCAGATTGTAAACAGTAAATTGTAAACAGTAAAGAAAAAGAAAATCAATTTTTAACGATTCAATAATTTAGAGAACTTTGTTGCATCGTAATTAATCATTCGATGAAAGATTTTTTTTTTTTCATTAGCAACGGTTGTTCGTTCCTGGGAATCTGATGAATTTCTTCGCAAAGTAAAGTACGCATTCTTTCTTCTTTTTTTTTTTTTTTTTTTGTCGATTCCTGGTAATTATACATTTTTTTCTTTTTTTTTAGGAATCAATTCATTTAACTTCTAAGTAATTTGTTGCGTTGAATATTCAAAGACGCGATATTGTAATTTGTTCGTCGAGTTTGCAAACCTGTTCTCGGATTGCACAATCGCTGCGTGAGAATTGTGCAATATTTGCAATTCAGTCTCACCCTTTTTTTTTTCTCTTCTTTTTTTTTTTTTTCAAATTAGGTACGAGCGAGGAAACAAGCGAATAATATCGATGCAACACCTCGACAGCCCGATCAAACAGCAAAACACATAATGATTTACGATTATTTAAACATCGCTAAAATTTGAAATGAGAATTAAGATTTGCAATTCAACGCGAATGTATTATGGAAACCTCGTTCTCCATAACATTATCCACTCTCTGTAAAAAAAGTGTTAATAACTACTAAGAGTATAAAACAAGAATATTCTAATTACATATTGTAAATTGAAAAAAGGAAAAATAAAAAAAAAAAAGAAACGAAGAGAGAGAAAAAAAAAAGAAAAACATCAAAGATCTACGTAATTATTAATGTTTTCTGCTTCTCATACCTCGATGGATTCTTCACCACGTCGATCCACGGAAATCGCACCGAATACATCCTGCTTACAGAATAAAGTTGCGTTTTGCCTCGAACAGGTGTGTTCTCTCTTTCTCTCTTTCTTTCTCTCTCCCTTTCTCTCTCTCTCTCTCTCTTTCTCTCTGCGCGCAACGTCAACAGCCGTTCGTTTTCGTCTTCCGTTTCCGTTTCTTCGCGAACCATTTAGAGGACCTCGAAGAAATTTCGTTACGTGCTCGGAACTGGACAGAAATCGCGCTTCCTCCTCGAAAACAAAAGGTCATTTCCAATTCTTCCATTCTTTTCTTCTTCTTATTTGCACGATCTTCGAATCTATTACACACACTCGACCTCCCCGGAGGTCGAAACAAATTCGAACGACGACGTATTTCCTCGCGAAGGAGAAAAAAAAAAAAAAAAAAAAGAAAAAACACACGTTCTCTTCTCAAACTCTCCATTTCCTTTCGAACAAACCTGATGATTTAAAAATTTCAGCGAGCAGAGAAATCGATCGAATCGAATTCACCTCCTCGATCTTGGCTTCGAAGCGAAGGAAATCGCGTACGAAAATAAATAAAAAAAGGGGGATGGGGATACGATAAAGAGGGGGAAGGGAGGAAAAATCGAGTGAACCGTGATCGATATCAAGATTCAAAAAAAAAAGAAAAAATAAAAGAAAAAAAAATCAAGCTAAAAAGAATAAAGGGAATCGCATTTATCGTGATTTATAATAGTAATTATTGCACTGATTCGCTGGCCTACCGCATCGTCGTTAGATTATATTACACACGCGCCGACTTGGCTATCTCCGATGCGTTTGGCGCGGCCGACGCGCTCTCGATATCGCGTTTATACGTCGATGCGCGTGATAGGAATTGGGTAAGAGGTCTGTGAACACGCGTAATACATCGGAGCAGGCTACGCGGGAGAACGCTCCGCGACGACAGGCCAATGAGATACGCGATAATCCGTTCTCGTTAACGCGATGTAATTAACTAGAGCCTCGGTCTCGGATGAAACGGAACGAGGTCGAAAGCTGGAAAGATATTTACCGGTCGATATATCTAGACTCCGCTTCAACGAAGGATGAGTATCCTGCGAGAGTCGAAGATCGAAACAATTTTAGAAACTTGGTCGAAGAGAAAACTTTGGAATAATGATCTAATACGGGGACGAAGGAACGAAGATTCGAGAAATTGAATCAATGTTCAAGGAGAAGCTATTTATTAGAAGATATTTAGTCCGGAATTTAAATTTGAAAGGATAAAATCTTGAAAGAGGTATCAATCGAGAAGAAAATTTTAGAATGAACTAGAATGAAGTAGAAGAAAGAACGAAAGTTTTATAAGACATTTAGTCCAGATTTTAAATCAGATCTTTTAAATGATACATCCTTCGAGAATGTAATTCGAGAATGAATTTTTTAATTCGTCGCGAATGAAACGAAGGTACACGTTACAAGGACATTGCACATCCATAATTCTTCTCGACCTAACTTCTGGACAAACTCGATCCCCGTCGAAGAAAAATCTTTAAGATTAATTAATTGATTAAACCGCGAGAAAAACTCTTCTCGAATACCTTGAAAGCGTTTCACCGTTAAGAAAGAAACGAAAAGTTTTTTTTTCAACAATTTGGATCTGCGCGTGGACGTAGTACCACCAAACATATCCGATAATTCTCCTCGACGAGTTTCGCCGAGCGAATGTAAACAAAAGCACGAAATCCAACGAGCCGAGGTCGTCCGTAGTGAACCGCCGCGTACGGAATAACAGAGGAACGAAATACACGGACGCGCGCCACGAAGGGAATGAGAAAACAATTCGGGAAGGTTACGACGCACCGATTCCGTCACGCTCGAGCGAACTCGAGTCCGGCAGCCGTTGCTTCTTCGAGGAAAATTTCTTCAAAGATCGCTATACTATACGTCGACGTGTGTTTTGAACCACGTGAGAGAACGTCCACGACGAGCGCACTCAATAATCCTTTGTTTAAGAACGTGGACGTTTCTTGTCGCTAAACCCTCCCACGAACCCCGTACACCCTACCCTCGTCGTCAGTCCTAACCCAACCCCCCTCCCCGAGCCCCCTTGTGTTGCCCTTTTTCTCGCGCGTGTATGCGTGTGTGTGTGTGTGTGTGCGCGCGCGCGTGCGCGCGTGTGTGTACTTTTTTTTCTTTTTTTCTTCGTAAATCGTTTTATCGTCGGCGCGCGCGAATCCCAACACCCCTCCCCTTGTCAACTGTATAAAATATTCTCAATCGTATCAACAACAGTCACATCGTACATCGTACAACGTTATTACATTATTACAATAGTTTATAGTTAATCGTAATCAATATAATATTCACAGCATTTTATGAAAATCTCTTAAAAGCACCAACCGTGGCGGCTCAAATTTTTTTTTTCTTCTCTCTTCTCTCTCTTCCATTCGTCCTCTTTCTTTCTTTCTTTCTTTCTTTCTTTCTTTCTTTCTTTCTTTTTTTCTTCCTTTCTTCCTTCCTTCCGTCCTTCCTTCCTTTCTTTCTTTCTCTCTCATTCTATCCTTTCAACGTCCGTTTTCTTTTTTTTTTTTTTTAACTCGCGTTCAATTTGTATCTCGATTTAAAAATCTCGATCTTCCATCTTCATAATCGTCCTCTTCTTCAATCGTGCTCTTCTTCTTCTTATTCTTCTTCTCTTCTTTGTCTCCCTTTCTCTCCCATCCTCTCACTCTTTCTCTCTAA